AGTTCAAAAGCATTTTGCAATGGCCTTAAATTGTGAGCCAGGATTTATAGCAAAGGTATTTGATGCAATGAAACTTAATCGGTACCTTCCAGTATGTATTTTAGTAAGGGGATTGTCAATCACATATTTTTAAATAGATAAAATACAGGCCAAAGTTGACAATATTACAGTTGAGAAGAAACTATTTTATCTTAAAAAATTTTTCTTAAAATTCTGAAATCATATAATCTAATTTTCTTAATAATAAATTAGGTATATGTATGTTGTACATACAGAATTTTGTTATGGACAAATAAGGATCGACAAGCTTCTTTTGTGCAAAAAATAAATGATTTTTTCTAATATTACGACAAACCATAATGTGTTTTACAAACTTACCGGTAACAGTTTTTTTTTATAATAAAATATTTAGGAATAACTTGGGTTGTTTATTAATATATTAATGACTTGAATTTTGACAAATTGAATTTGTATCAAAATAATTCTACGAAATATAAAATTGATGTTCTATTACAAGATTCAGTTTTTATTGTCGACAAAAACCAGGATAAATATTAATAATAATACCCTTAATAAAATCAATGATGTTTATGTATTATGAAAATATTTGTTAGAGGACATGTTATGTAACAGTTTTTGAAACACAATTTGAAGGTACGAATAAAAAAAATAAAACAAAAACATATTTTTTCTAGGTTTATATTAAAAATACAAGGTAGGTAATCATCAAAAATAATTATGAACCAAATATTTTTTATGAATATACAACTTGAACAAAAAGTTGTTTAGAACAATTTTTACCAAATATGCAAAAATTTTAAATTGAAACGCGTAATTCAGTAAAAGTAAACATGAAATATTGTAAATACTTAAAATATAATTTCGAGTGTTTAACGACGAAAAGGTCATCTGTCCGTAGCGTCTTTTGTCAGAATATTCGTATATTTAGTGTATTATATACCAATATTGTACGCAGTTTTGAAACTGATAATTAAATAAATCATATTAATGTTAACTAACCATAATAAATGATAGACTTTCACTAAATTTAAATTGCCCCCCGTATTGTTGAAAACAGCAAATTGATATTTGATTACTTATAGATTACCACCTATATACAAAATGACACGAAGACCTGGAATATGGCGCCCAACTTGATTAGACCTTCTGCGCATGTTGACGCTCATTCTCTATCCCTTCTATTTCTCTGTACGTCACGCGCTGACCAGCGCTCCACAGTGCGGCGGATGGTTTTCTAGCGGGACAAAATCTCAAGAGCAATGTTTGGGACTTAAAATCTAAGAACGTAGCAAATGACCTAATATATAGCAACTATATGGTTAAATTTATTTATTTATTAACAACTTAATTTATTAATAAATAAATACAAAATAATAAAACTATGATATTATTCGTACATGACACACAAAAACCGTATTGTAAACTATTGCCAGATACATAAAATTATGATATCAAAAAACTCTTTAGCAGTTTTTTTTTAATTAATTTGTAATCTTGTGACACCCTCTATAATTTATTTTAAAAAAATATATTTTATTTTGAAAATAATAAATAAGATAGATATTTTAATTTTCCCGCGGGCTTTTCTAGTGTTAATTTTATTAGGTTAGCAACTTGCGGCCATGCTGACGGAATGCCGTCTCTAATAGAACAGCCTCGGAGCGAAATTTATGACGTCACGCTAGTTAAATACTAGGGATTAATAAATATGTTGTAAATATATACATGGAAAACATAATTCCTCGTATTTTTGGTTTGTATTTTAAAAATCATATAGTTTACATGAACTATACAAAATATACAGTTAATAAATACAATATATTAACATATTTATAGTAATAAATACTTTCGCAAATAAACTATGAACCATACAAATGCAGCAAATGTTTTACAATATACAAATAATGAATAGGTACATAAGATAATGGGTAAAATATAAAATATATTTTAAATTTTGAAGTTTGAAAATCGATCTAATGTAACAAACAACATTCAATGTCTACTACTTACTATGACTGAAATCGTACTCCATAGTCAATGTAGATAGTTTTAGTGTTAAGAATAATAATTTAAAAAAATACGTGGTCATCTTTTGACAAGTTTATATTAGTTTATTAATTGCAGTAAATATTATGTGGTGCGTGGGGATTTTATATGTAATTTTTTTGGATTATATTCGACATTATTTTATTCATATGACAACACTGATAAAGGCTATGATGTTTTTTTTAAACCACTTTCTTTTAAACCAAAAAAAAATAATGAAAAACAAATGAAAACAATCAGCGTTTTCCCGAACCTAAATCCCAAGAAAATCAAAAATTTTAGAATAATTTTACATATAAAATGACAGCGATCTTTATTTCATAGCCATCGCTGACGCCTTTTTTTCTATGATATTGTATTATTTGCAAACATAATATGTCGAACATTGATACTTGCAAAATATACATATACATTTTGTGATGCAAATAATAATACATCACTATTAGTAGATATTGAATGTTTTTTTTTGTTAAATTAGATCGATTTTCAAACCCCAAAATTTAAAATATATTTTATTTTACCCATTATCTTATGTATCTATTTATTATTTGTATATTGTAAAACATTTGCTGCATTTGTATGGTTCATAGTTAATTTGCCAAAGTATTTATTACTATAAATAGGTATATATATATTGTATTAATTAACTGTATATTATGTATATTTCATGTAAACTGTATCATTTTTAAAATACAAACCAAAAATACGAGGAATTATTATCTTTTCCATGTATTCTACAACATATTTATTAATCCTTAGTATCTCACTAGCGTGACGTCATAAATCTCGCTCCAAGGCTGTTCTATTAGAGACGGCATTGGTCTGATATTTAGAAATGTCAAAAGCTGATGACATTTTACTTTTGACAATTGTGTTGATTTTTGCAAGAAGAGGAAGAACTGTCGCTTGTTTTATTCTTTTCCTTTTCTATTTCACGAAAGTAAAAGGAGTTACCTATCTGATTCGTTCAGACACTCAATTTAAAGAATATCAGTAACTTTTTTGATAGAGGGATTTTACATTTGCTCTGTTGGTAAAAAATAACGGTTAAAATTCACAGTTATTCATTTTATAGACTATACAAAGAATACAAGGTATGATCGATAGCGGCTCCAATTTCGTTCAGTTCGCGCATACCGCCTGTGACGTCACTAGGAAAATAATGAATAAATAAAAAATAAAGTTTTTTTTTTTTTTTTCTATTTTTGGCCACTTGTGTATTACGACATTCAGCCAGCTTATTTCTTAATATTTAATTAGCGTTTAAAATCGGACAAATACAGACTCACACACACATTTAACACCCATGTCCGAGGCCGGAATCGAACCGGCGACCTTGCGTCTACTAGAATGCGGCGCAATCATTTCGACCACAAGGCCGACTTATAAAGCAAGTTGACAGGAGATCTGCATTTTTTGGGGTTATGGTTAAGAATTGTTTATTTTTAAGACTTTTTAGTTCGTTTAATTTAATAATTACTAAAACCAGCAGTTTCAAAAATATATTTAAAAATAATAATTATCTATTAACATGGATTTGGACCATAATAGGTAAGAATACTAAATTTATTTCTCTATTCGGTATAAAATTGTTTATTAGGTTTTTAGTTTGCGATGTTTATGGTAAATAATTTTTATGTTCATTGCCTCTGAATTCACATGAGGACAGAGATGAGGATATCTATGGAAAAGTAACCACAAGAGGAATTACATAACATCATTTAAAAAATGTTGGGAATTATATTGTTTCCCATCGAAAAGTAGAAAATGCCAATGCAGATGAATGTATTGTAATTGTGATAGAAGTAATTCCAAGGGTGAAGTTTATTATAATTAGTGACCTGTGCTTCTTTTTATATGTAGATATTTCAGGTTTTGAGAATAAATCGGTTGAACGAAACCCAAAATTTAGAGGAAGTATTTGCATACCCAGAATATGCCCATCAAGGATTATATAGCTCAAATTTCCTTTGATAGTAGGCAATTATTCAATGCAAATTAACTTTTTAAGTGACTGAAATATTAAATAGTTTACAATATGGTATATCACTGTAAAAATATATTACTTTTAGGTACAATTAGGGCCCGATACATTTCAAAAAGTAGAATATTATTTTATATTAAATGAGGTATTGTACTAACAATCAATTTATATTAATACCGGAGATTAAAAAATAACAGAATAAATAGTTCTTTTTTTTTATACTACAAAAATATAACCTATAGAATACAACAGTATTTAAAAAAATAAATAAAAAGTTATGTCCCGGCCGAGATTCGAACTCCGGTCTCTCGCTTCCTAGCCCGACTCCTTACGCACTACTCCACAGTAACTTGCTTAGCGACAATTCAATGACGGTATATAAACAAAAAAACAGGTTTATAACAATACCTTGACGATTTGAACTGGCGCGCGGAGCGTGCTGACCAATAGCGCCTGTTATCACCTGTGACGTAGCGACCAACCTGCGCAATATCATACCTTGTATTCTTTGTACCATGGTCTAAACGCCTTTGATGTACCGACTCGAAGCGGATGGTCGAGCGCACGAACGAACGAACGGCCGCATGCGTTCGGTCCCCGTCTAAATATACCGCACTTTCATTCGTTCGTTCGTTCGTTCGTTCGGATAATGAATACGCACCTTAAATCTGAAAGTGCACGCAGGCGAACGCCTTTGATGTACCGACTCGAAGCGGATGGTCGAGCGCACGACCGAACGAACGGCCGCATGCGTTCGGTCCCCGTCTAAATATACCGCACTTTCATTCGTTCGTTCGTTCGTTCGTTCGTTCGTTCATTCGTTCGTTCGTTCGTTCGTTCGTTCGTTCGTTCGTTCGTTCGTTCGTTCGTTCGTTCGTTCGGATAATGAATACGCACCTTTAGACAAGCTTGGAACAAACCAGTAGAACGATTGACAATTGACAAAGAGTTGGCAACACTGGTCATAAACAATCACAAAAATCCTTGCACAAAAATCAAGGTTATACAAATATAGAATAAAAGATTTGTTTTTCTCGACGAAATGGCTCCTTCAAAACCACTGAAATTGAAAAACGAGATTCCATCTAATAATAAAAAAAATAAATTCTTATCCATCGAGTCAGATGACATAAGTTATAGTTTTGCTGCTAGGCTTCTTGGGAATTTAAATTTGTTAAGGAGAGATAAATTGTTTTGTGATATCGACATAAAAATAGGAAATGAAGTATTTAGTGTAAGTGCTTCTGATTAATACAACACATTCTTAGTTATAAGAAAATTATAGGTTCACAAGGCAATACTAACAGCAAGTAGTCCGTATTTCCATGCAATGTTTACAGGTGGTTTATGTGAAAAAGATCAAAATTGTGTTGAATTACATGGTGTTTTTCCAAAGACTTTTGAGTTTATCCTTGAATTTATGTATACAGGAACAGTAGTTGTAGATAAAAATAATGTCGAAGATCTTGTAATTGCTGCAGATATGTTTGAAATTATAGAAATAATTACAAAATGTTCCTACTTTTTGATTGATCAACTACATGAAACTAATGCCATTGGAATATACTTGTAATAGTTAAAATTACATATAAGTAATTATTGTGAAAATATATTTTATTTAGGTTTGCAAGAGACCATAATATATTAGAACTCAAAGTCTCTGCTATAAGATATATAGAAGAGCATTTTCCAAAAGTTATTAAGGAAGAAGAAATTTATGAACTGGAAAAAGACACCTTTATCAACTTTTTATGCTCAGAATATTTAAAAATAGATTCTGAATGTGAAATGTTTGAAGCTGCCATCAAGTGGATTAAGCATGATATTGCAAACCGAAAACCATATGTATTTGACATATTGAAGAAAGTTAGATTACCATTGATATCATTTAGTTAGTCTATTTGGTTTATAAGAAATTTTAAATTATTTATAAATGTTCTGTTTAGCATTTCTTGAGAGAGCCATTAATGAATGTCCAGATAGCAGTTTGAAGGTGGCTCTTAAATCAGTATATAGTGATATGATAAATCAAAAGGGTTGTTTAGTCCCATTGAATGCAAAACCAAGAAAATGTGCTAAAAAGGATATTTATGTTATTGGTGGATCAAAACGGGAACTTCATAGTGTATGGGATAGAGGTCTTGAAATGCATTATGTATCTATTGAAAAGTTTAATACCTTTACAAGGCAAGTAATATGTTAGTATGTATCTTTGAATTTTTCACTTCCATTGTCTTTATTTTAACTTACAAAATGTTTTGATGAGATGTATTACTGACCATTATCAAGTGTAAACTATTAACGTGGACAATAATAATAAATATCAATTTGCATTAACTGCAAACTGTACACTTGGTAATGGTTAGTGATAGATACATTGGATCGAAATGTTGTGTAAGTTAAAATAAATAAAGACAATGGAAGTTTGAAATTCTTGTAGGTATGTAGTTTAAATATGTTAATATGCCCTATAGCAGACTGATTTACTCATATTTTAAATTATTAGAAAATGGGCAAAGGTACCTGATATGAGAGTGAATCGTTTAGTCCCTGGTGTAGCATCTTTAAATGGTTACATATATGTCGTGGGTGGCGAGGAGGGTTCAAATATTCTTTCTAGTTGTGAGAGATATGACCCAGAAACAAAAACCTGGACACAAGTGGCTAGTATGGTAATACCTAGATGTGAATTTGGTTTATGTGCTTTAGATGGTTATTTGTATGCTATGGGTGGTTGGGTTGGTAGAGATATAATTGATTCCATTGAAAGATATGATCCCAGAGTTGACAAGTGGGAAGTGGTTGGCTCTTTGTCAGAATCTAGATTTAGTATGGGATTGGTCTCTTATGAAGGTTTGAAATATCATATTGCATGCAAATATTTAGTTTTACTAAACAGATTATAGGTTTAATTTATATGGTTGGTGGCTCTTCCTTAACCCAAAGGAATATGCAAGATTTGATGAGGTACAATCCTGTGAGTGGTAAATGGCAAAAGCTACCATCAATGTCAATAGCTCGCTTTCAAATGGGTGTTGCAGTTCTAGATGATTACTTATATGTTGTTGGAGGAACATGTAGACAACAAGTACTGAGTTCAGTTGAGAGATATTCATTTAAGAAGGTAAATATACATATTGGGTGATTCACAGCTGGTAGGTTGGATGCCTATGGAGAACTGGTCATAGGATTTTTTGACTATTTGGATTTTTACATTTACATAAAGGCACCTGCTCTATCTATCTAAATTTTCAGCTTTACAGTGTCGCCGCAACATTTGAATAGATGTAGCATCTTTGTTATTTTAAATGCAACACCTGGTACAGTTAAAGCTCTAATAAACGGGTACTGACGGTTCTGCTAAATTCGTCCAAGTATGTATTTGACATATTGAAGTCTATTATTTCTTTCTAAGATTCTAGTAGACAGGGTGGTTTGAATTGTATTTAAGAAACTTTCGTAGCATATTCTTCAGATACAAATAAGTACAAAAGTTTTTATAAACTTATGTCCTAAATTGATTCGTTTTGGAGATACAGGGTTTAGAAGATTCATTTTTATTTCAATTTTTTCTACAATTTTTTTAAACTAACGTCGATATTTGGATGAAAATTGGAATCTAGGTGTTTTTTGACATGAGAAATTCGATTTCGATATGAATATGACTCCTACTTGTAGGGGGCGCTACTAGCTGTATGTTCTTTAGATGTTTTGAAGAGTACCTAATAACTTTTTTTTCCATATCTGTATAAACGAGTTAAAAAATATACATTTCCAAGCAAGAAGTAATCAAAATCTTTAGTAAAGTTTATTTCCCTGGCTTGAAAGTCAGCACAAGAATTAATTCTGAAAAGTAATGTGCAAGGTGTTGACAAACTTTTTTATTATAGCATGCATATTTAAATATCTTCGAATACCTCAAAAACTAAAGCTTTTAAACATATTAAACTCTTATAATAAATGCCTTATTTTAGGTCCAAGAATCGAAAAATGAAATAAAATACCGGGTGTTCCATAAGAAAAAATTTAACTTTGGTATGGATCATAGCTCTGACCAGAGCTGCAAGCTAACAGAAAACTTAAGTCTTTTTTTGACTTAAATCATTTTAATGACCTAAATCATTTGATTTTAAGTCATATTTCGAAAGCTGACTTAAGACTTAAAGTTTAAGTCATTTTCAAAATGACTTATGACTTAAGTTTTTACTCTGAAATAAAAAAAATATTTCGGAATAAACAGTCATTAGAAAAAATAAGAAAAAAAATAAGTCATTAGAAAAAGATTTAAGTCTTTTTGAAAAGATTAAAGTCATTAAAAAAGGTTTAAATCTTTTTTTAAGCCCAGTGGCATCATCAGTTTTTTTCTATACTTAATAAAATCATATCTATAATTAAATGAAAATCATAGTGAATGAATTTAATAACTTTTTCTTTTAATTTTAGTTTCATAAAAAAGTAGCAACTGTGAATACCGTATCTTTGTACCGCTGCTCATAAATCAGAAACTCTGTTAAACACACAAAAATGGGACAACCTGTACAAAGTGCCACGAAATTTAATGTTATTTAAAGTGTTGATGTTTCTTATGTGTGTCTTTATGTCCTTGATGCGTTTTTATTGCTTTATTGTTTATTATAGTTGTTTATACAGGGTGGTCCGAATTGTATTCCGGAACCTTCGGCAGCATATTCTTCAGATAAAAATAACTAACAAAGTTCATATAAATGTATGTCCTAAAATGCTTAGTTTCGGAGATACAGGGTGTAGAAGTTTAATTTTTATTTCGATTTTTTCCAAATAATTTCTGAATTAACGTCAATATTTGGATGAAAATTGGTGGATGGGTGTTTTTTGACATGAGAAATTTGAGTTTGATGTCAATATGACTCCCATTTGTAGGTGGCGCCACCTACATGTGTTTTAACTGTTTTGAAGAGTAATAACTTTTCGTCGGTACCTGTATAAAACTACTGAGTAAAAAAATAAACATTTACGACTTTTTTTACGTAAAAAAGGTCTCGTGGTAAAAATCGCTACGAGTAATGGTTCTCGAGATATTGGGAATCGAAATTATCAATGCCTGTCATCATTAACATAAATTAAACATGTTGACTAAATAGTTATTAGACTGATATCACAAATTTGAAATTTTTTTGTGTCAAAAGTTCAAAAAAAACTGTTTATCATTATTTTTTCGCAGAAAAACTTATGATTAATTTAAAAAAATAAAAATTTATTTTTTCAGTCAAATAACTATACTCAACGTGTGCTTATTTTTTGTCAATAACGTATGCATTGACTATTTCCATTCTAAATATCTTGAGAACGGTTGCTCATAGCGATTTTTACCAGATATTTTTTACATAAAAAGTCATGCAAATGTATATTTTTTTAGTCAGTGGTTTTATACAGGTACGGTCGAAAAGTTATTACTCTTCAAAACAGTTAAAACACATGTAGGTGGCGCCCCCTACAAATAGGAGTAATTTTGACATCAAAATCAAATTTCTCATGTCACAAAACTCCCTCATACCAATTTTCCTCTAAATATTGACGTTACTTCAGAAATTATTTGGAAAAAATCGAAATAAAAATGAAACTTCTACACCCTGTATCTCCGAAACTAAGCTTTTTAGGACATATATTTATACGAACTTTTTTACTTATTTTGATCTGTAGAATATGCTGCCGAAGTTTCCGGAATACAGTTTGGACCACCCTGTATAATATTTTATTCTAATCTGCATAATACAATAAATTAATATAATAAATTAATATATAGGATAATACAAGAAAATTAATTTTAGTAATTTTAATTAATTAATTTAAAAAACGGGTATTTAAATTGAATTCTGGTTAGCTTGACACGAGGGAAATTATATTGATTTAAGTCATTTAACTGACTTAAGTAGAAAAAGACTTAAGGTATGATTCCGAATATGACCGCAATGACCGACCGCAACCACAGGCCGCACACTGCAACCGCATTGCCGTTGCTGTCTGAGGTCGGATTAATGCAGAACACTGCGACACAGATAGTCCTGCAGTCGTAGATAAGAACTCCTCGAGGAAACATGTTAGTATCTTCTGCGATTATTGAACTCTTGTTGGAAGAGGAAGATGATGATGATGTGTTACTAATGCATACTAGGAAACAAAGAAGGTTGACAATGCCTTTGTATAAAAATAGAATAGATGAGGGAAGTTACTCAGTGCTAATACAAAAACATTTGTTGAGTAATGAAACCATATTTAGAAGCTATTGCCGTTTAAATAAAAGACAATTTCATTTTGTACTAAGCCTCATTAATGACGATATTAAACCAATGTGGACAAGGCTCGTCATAAATAGACGGCTTCCGAAAAACTCATTTTGGACCTCGTGTAGGTACGATATTTTCAGCCTGAAGGCCGTGAAGTCGACTGCAATACTGGTTCGTAAGCGGTAGTGCGGTTTGCAGTTAAAGCGAGGCCTGCCGTTCGACGGCAACGACGCCTATTTTAGAATGCATCCCATTGAAAACTGTTGAAACCTGTAGTGTCGTCTGCAGTCTGCTGCTGCGGTCTGCAGTCTGCGGTCGTGTTCGTAATTGTACCTTTAAGTAAAAAAAAACTTAAATAACGTTATATTGATTTAAGTTTTTACAAAAATGGCTTGACTTGAAACAAAATGGCTTAAGTCAAAGACTTAAAACTTAAGTCATTTGAACTTTATATTGAAATTGACTTAAGACTTAAATCATTTTGATTTTAGAATTTACTTAAGTCTTTTTAAAACTGACTTGGTGCAGCTCTGGTTCTGGCACACCCTGTACATTTCAAAATAATTTTAAATTATGCACATTGCCTTCCCACATATACCCATAAAATATCTTGTTTCTACATCTTTCCGTTTTCGTATAATCAACCGAGGCGAATGAGGTGCGCCACCCTGTATAATAAGTTAGTCAAATAAAATACTGTGTATTTGTTTAGTTCTGAAAATGACAGAGTTCTTGAACCTTAAAATATATTTTTTATTTTAGTTTTCTTGGGTATTAGCATATACAGGGTCAGTTTCCTACGATGTATAGATCTTTAAGGTCGCAGTGATTAACCCCCCCCCCCCCCTCTTACTATTCTACATTCAACATTCTTCCTACGATGTTCTCTGTGGGTATCTCGGAAACTACTGGAGATGAGAGTCGGTTAAATGGGCAAAGAATTGTAGTTTTGTGGGGTCATAAATATACGCCTTTCAAATTTTTTCTACATAAAAAAGTTTTCAGATAAAAGTTGTAGATAATCACATCCCTAATGAGTCTGTGTTCCGATTTTTTTCCTGTCATTTTTGACATATGACACAAACATATGTTTGTTTCTAAATGGAAACCATAGTTGGCCATGACTTCATAATAAGCGCCATTTTTTAAGCTTTTCAGCGATATAAGCTATAGTATGTTTTTTTTACAAAATTACTGAGTTATAGCCAATTCTTATCTTTCTTGACTATTTTCACTTAGTTAGCCATGGAAACAAGTTCAATCGTCGTTGCTCTCAGAAATGTGAAAGTGTCACATCCAAACTTTGTAAATTAAAATGAACAAAAATTGTAAATATGAATTTTTCAAATGAAGAAAAGCGTGTAGGATTATTGGTTGCGACTCAACTTTCACTCAACTTTTCTTGGCCATACAGATTCAAGGATAGGTTGACCGGTGAACGTTACTTAAGTTTTTTAGAGAACGGTTTTCAAGACGTGTTTAAGACAAGTTAGATTTAGATACTCGCACATTAATAGAGTGGTTCCAACATGACTTTCATTATGACACACCACTCCCCAACAATGAAAGAAATATTAAAAATTATTTATATCTTAATTATGTAGACTCAGGTTTAGAAAGAGGTGGACCAATTGCATGGGCCTCCCCGATCACCTGACCTATCCATTTTAGATTTTTTTATGTGGTATGATTAACAACAAGGTTTACAAAAAAACTTATGAATTAAGAGAGGCACTTGAAGAGGCGGTACAGGAGAAGTTTAATTAAGTCGACCGGTCGTTCTGTGAGAATAGCTAGAAATTTAGAATAATATAATATTATTAATTATTTATTATTTTTTTAGTTTATGTAGTTTAGATTT